AAATTATTGAAAAAATATTACACTACTAATTTAACTATATAAATTAAACTTCTGAAAATCAAGTCAGCTTACTGCATTATTAAAGAATGACTATCTTTTACTACTTAAATAAGATTAATACAAATATTTATAGAGAAATCTATAAACTCTATAAAAAAAAATGTTGAAAGTACCAATCAATTTGAAAATAATGGATATACACTCTCAAATAATGAATTTTATTAGTAAAAATTAAGATCTGTAATCTATTTATTCAAACTATTTTAACCTGAATAAATCGATGTGTAATTGATAATGAATTAATTTAATTACTTAAATAGTGATATCACGGTGATATTTACTTAAAATTTTTAATGTATTTAAAATAACTTAAATATTAAATATGTAATAATATTTAAGTTATTTATTATCAAGATATTAGATTGTCAAAAAAATTATTAGAGAGGGGACAAATAGTAATTTAACATTTATTTAAACTTTTGTTGTTTGATAAGGTTTAATGATAAAAATATTAGATAGTATTTTATAATTTATTTAATTTTCTTATGTAGTTTTCAGATTTCCGAATAAATTATTTTTCATCTTTAATTAATTCATAGGGAACAGTTTGTAAATGAAAAAAATCCAAAATTAATTTGAAGGAGTTTATCTCTAATCAAAAAAGTTGCTCATTAAAATTATTATAAAGATTAAATGGAAATAGATTAAAGGTTTTATTTATTTTTAATTGCGCTTTTCTGAGTGATCTTATAATTTTTTTGAATTTAATAAGATTCAATATTTGATAATCTTACTTTTTTCAATAAATAAAGAATATTCTTCATATTATTCATTATAATCTATTACTCTTATTTAATTAAAGCAAACTAAGTTTATTTATTAAATAAAATTAATAATATGATGATTTTAATTTTTCTTCTTTGCTTGGATGCTTTAAAATCAATTGAAATTTAAACTTTAGACCCTTATTATCAAGTTGCTTATCAATCGGTAAAGATTGATGATGAGATTATTCAGCCAAACCAATTTTTTAGTTATGGTCTTTGGTCTCGATATAATCCTTTAAGTGCTATATCTTAAGTTGGTCCTGTTGGAATTTTTGGAAGTAATTGCTACTAATTACTGAATATAATTGATAAGGTAGATGGTGGAATAACTTTTATGTATTTCGATTGTTTACATAATGAGAAATATCAAATAACAAAAGAAATCAAATTTGTTAATGATAATGGAGAATAGAAAGTTTATGAAACTCAGATTGAAGCATAAGAATATGAAAGCTTTTGGTATTTTCTTGAAATAATCTAATGGCCAATTAAAAAAAGATTTGAAATTTTTATAATATCCCAAAAAGAATAAAAATTTTTTATAATGGATTAAATGAAATCCCCATTTAAGGGAAAGGATTTACAATTAACTTTTGGAGGAAGCTTGATTGTAAGTAAATCGAAAATAGAATCAGTGTTAATCAATCAGAAATTCTCATACTTTCCTGGAAAAATTATCATGTAATAGTTTAAGATTCTGGAAGAATTAAGTATTGATGATTGGTTTGAATATGCAAAAAGTGTTTTTGAAGAGTATGAAACTTGTAATTGCTCGCCTAATCAAGAATTTTAAATTCCAGATTTAAACATTAGCTCTATTTAAAAGGGAGAATTTGTTTCAGAAAATAAAAATTGCAATTCTTTTTTTATTTAAGGTTGGTTTAAAATTTAATAAATTATGGATAAAGACTATGTATATCTTTATCCATTTATAAAATTAGCAGGCAATTTTGAAAATCCAAATTTATCTAGTAATAATTTATCTCCTGTTTAAGTATTTTATAAATTGTCCAATATTTAACATTAAATTCTAATTACTACATATAGTTTCACTTTTCCATCAGTAACAATAGATTTCTAAGCTAATCCTTTTTTAATTGAGAAAACTTTTGATATTGTAAACAGTATTACATTATGGCATAAGATTTAGATTTAATTGGAAAATAGTTTAATGGATATCTAGATTAAATTCTATGATAACTATATGATTCATGAATATAATTAATAATTAGAAGTCCGTTAATTTTAAGAGAATTAATTTAAATTATAATTAGGAAATTATTAATAGCTTGAAACAAATCAGGTAAACTTATTGATACGAAACTTTGTTTTTTTTAATTGTAATTAATCTTTTTCTTAAAATAATTGCCATTATACTTGTTAGGAATGTGATGGACCAACAAAAGATGATTGTTTATCATGTTCCGAAGAAAGCAAGAGAATTTATTTACCTGAATATAAAGTATGTGTTTGTCCATTAGATACAATCGATAATTTAATTTTTATAGATTATCTTGTAGCATAGATGATGTTAATCGAAGGAACATTTACCAATAAAGAATGCCAATATGGCTATTATGAATTAGATGATGAATGCTAGAAATGGTATTTATAATTATAATTTAGTCCTTCAATTATCAATTAATATTTGATAACTTGTTTAGAATGCATCTATAATCCTAAATCCTTTAGTAAAAAGCCATATTGCGGAGATGTTTTATCTATTAGTTAAGCAAGCTAAACAGAAAATTTTTACTGTTAATTGCCAGAATTATTACTTTTTGATGGCATTGATCAAAATAATTGTGCATGTGGAAATTTTAAAGCTTAATCGATAATGAATTAGAAAATATATATGTTGACTTCACATAAAAATCTTTATATTTTAAAAGCATATGTATAACAGAAGAATTTAGATGTTATTAAGTTAGTCATTTTGAATGTCCTGAATATTATTTATCAATAGCTGGTATTAAATGTTCATCAAAAAAGGATGAATTTGAAAATTTTTAAGGATAATTTAATACATAATTTGATTATATTATTACTTTTAATTGTCAGTCTCTTAACTATATTACAAACCTTTACCAATGCAAATTATGCCCTATAAAAAACTGTATATATTGTTTTGAATACCAATAAGGAGATTCTTCCTTTAAAAGCACCTTGTATGAGGATTTTGAAAATTTTGAAATAGATTAAAGCATGTAAATTGGTTGTGCGATGTGTGAATAAAATTATATATTTGATTTTACTATTGGCGAATGCATAGAATAATAATCAAAAATATAAACATGTTTGAGATCTTTCATAAATTTGAATGGATAGGAAATTTGCACGCTTTTTTCTTAATGATTTTAGCATTTCGCCTCTCTAATTGCTTGTAATGCGTCCTTACTCCTAAGACCAACATACAATGTATACATTGTAGTGAAGGATATTTCAGTTCTTTGATAACTGAGGACTGTACTAAGAATTATTAACTGTATGTTAATGAAAATACTTATTCTCATATTTTAACAGATGGATAAAGATTAGATACATGGGTTGTTATGATTTAAAGTGTTATGATGCAATTTTTACCATCTCAATATTATTATCCACATTCTCTTGATTCACCAAGTATATATGAGCTTAAATGTAAATATGGCTATTAATTTACTAAATTATAATCATGCCAAAAATATTGTAGTAATGATTGTTTAATTTGATGAGAGATTTAATTGTATGTAAAGCTCTTTGGATTACTACAAAAAACCTATAAGAGTTGAAAAAGATGGTCAATGTGTTAGTTGTTCTCACTTATGCCAATACTGTTAAGAAAGAGATGAGGAGGAAATATATGTATTATTTTATACTAAAATAGGCTTTTCAACCAATGAAAATGCTAAATATACAATGAAATGTATTAAATCACTTGAAGATCCTATTATTATTGAAAACTGTTTGATTGTAAACTCTTCATTTTTTTCTTTCTAAACAAATTAAATCAATCTTAATAAGGTCATATTGTAAGGTGTTGAAATACTAGGATGTAACTTTTCTTATTCATATTTTATCAAGATTTATAATGGATTTTCAATAATCGCAAGTAATCTATACTTTCATGATAATTAGCTATAGAACTCAATATTGATAGCATTTAATGATAATATAGAATTAATTTAAGTAAAAACAAATAAGAACATTCTTATCAAATCTTCAATTATCTCTACATTGCAAATAGTAAATTAATAAAAAGTTTTATGTATTATTGATGATTTTGAAGATAGTTAAACTAATTTTTAAGAATCAAGCATGATAATTATTTATTCTAATCTTCAAATTAATAATTATATAGTAAATTTAAAAAACATAAAAGTTTAAGGAAATCAAATGGTTGATACAAAAGATTAATAAATATTTTTATTTAAATTTCATTGTTATCATTTATTTATAGAAAATACTTCATTCTAAGATTTGAATAATTTAGTTATTTTTTATCTTTTTGAGATTATATAGACAGTTATAGAAAATGTAAGACACGTAAATTCAAAGTAACAATATAAAGTCCTTTATCTTAAGAAAGTACTTAATCCATATTAATCAAGAATTAACTCTTAAAATTAGCTGGTTTCTAATTTTTGTAATTGGAAAATATTTAAATTGTAAATTTATTTTCTAATAACTATTCACTAATGGATCTAATATTTAGCAACTATTTTATCATAGACTAAATTGGATAAGTATATTTTAAAAATATCTAATTTAAAGAAAATATTTTTAAAGAATTAATAAGCAGTGTCATTGTCCTTGCTTAGTCTATATTCATAACATAGTTTAAATTTAAATTAAGTGAAATGGTATTTTTTAAAATATAATTCATTAATAAATTGACGATTCTACAGAGGAAAAAACTAGTTTATTATATATAAATTCATTAAACAGCATTATTTAAATTGATAATTTATATTGCTCTCATAAT